CTAATACTAATACTAATACTAATACGACGACGACTACTACTAGTGCGACTACTACGACTACTACGACGACGACCTGCTACAACCGCAACTACTACTGCTGCTGCTGCTGCTGCTGCTGCTGCTGCTACTGGTACAGCCGCTTAAGCACCTAGAGTATCGCTGGAACTCATAGATGTAATGCGTATTCGAGGTATGGACTATAGCCGACTCTGCCCGAGGTGACCGCAGAAGCCTTGCTGTCTCGAACACGAGTGCGCCCAGCTCCCGGCCCGACATCCTTTCAGAATTGCATGCCTTGGCAGGTACAGGGTCCCACGGCCTACGTTGCTTCAGCAGAAGGCAGAGCAAGCCTCAGGGGAGGGGCGGGTTTGACGGCCATTGCTTCGGTGTTGTCCTGTACCGTCAGGTAATTTATAGGGCCTTTTGTCGAAGGAGTGCTTGTTGGGTGTAAGGCTCTCCCAGATCAGCAGTAGCAGCACGACGCGCTGTTCGATTTGCGCCATGAGCGTTGAAAGTTCACAGTTTCAAGCTGAGGTATGCACTCGGCCAGCCGGTGGGTCCAGTCGCTCGCACTGTGGCTCTGGTCTGGTTTGCCCTCGTATGCACTGCACTCAGTGTGCAATCCGTAGCATTAGGTTGATTTGTCACATTCAAAGCAAGAGTCCTCCTTGAGACTAGGCTCAGAACACCATGGTTCCGCTTGTGGCGACCCAGCTTCTCTCGGCTGCCATGACCTAAGCGCAAAAATCTAGAGTCTAGAGTTGAAGAGTACGGCAGTAGATTTGATGGCGTTGGATGCATCAGGACCGGAGCCCTTGGCAACGAAGCCTCCCGCCAAGGCCCGTCCACTGGCGCCTGGTTGCGTGTCTCTTGCGGTAATGCGAAGCTGTTCCAGTCTCGTCACTATGGGATGGACAGCCCAGAGGAAAAACATTTGCAAAGTCTTTCCACCTCCATTGAGCACCCGCAAAACAGGCTCGACATAGAGACTCTCTTCCTTGCAGTTGTGCAGGAAGTGACTCGATACTTGCGCCAGTGTTGTGAAATGAGCATGCGACCCTAGCTGCATTCAATTCTGTACTGCCAGGGATCTGATCATGGTCTCGGTGAGCTTGCTGGCCTTCGATTCTGCAACAGGTGCAGCTGATCGATGCGCAAGCCTGCTGCAAAGGAACGTGCTTCAAAGGAGATCGAAGCTGCTTCTTGCGCAGGTTCATCGGTTGAGGCTGACATTCCCCTGCAGATCGTGACGCAATCCCAAACTTTGCTCAATGCTCACTCCTTGGAAAGGCTTGGTGCACACTTGTGGAGACTCTTCTGCCAAACCAGGTCGAGCTCCGCTCGGCACCCCCGAAGCTGCTCACCGTTTGGACAGCTTGGCCCTGGAGTGAGCCGATGTCTCAGTGAAGTGCCGTCTACTTCCGGCATCTTCCGGCCATCTCGACACCTGATGCTGAGGCTTCCAGACACGCTTCCAAAGCCGAGCCCTCAGGCAACAACCTGCTGCGGACTGTGGCATGGGCCAACTGCAAAATCAGTGACTTCAACATGACACGAGCTGCCTCTTGTTTCTGTACTACGGGTTCTCGTATGTACGTCGTCGTCAAGTCTTCGGGTGCCAGTACGAAGCGGTGGAAGCCGAGAGGTAAGCCCCCTTAAATCATCTTAAATCCCCAAAGGCGACTGCCGGGCAGTGTCCAATCCCCGCCAATACATCCTTTCCCGAAGAAGGGGCAAGGCGGGCTATGCTTACTTCCTTGTTTGTGTTGCTTCCAAGTCCGAACCCATCCAAACCGTGAGGCCTAGGTCCGAAAAACCCAAGCTGGAAACCTCAAAAGCCAGACCGCGAAAGGCTCGTCACTAAACTCTTAAGAGCTGAGTGCCACTTTTGCAACCCCGACGGCTGAAGAGGGCTTTCGTTCGAGAACCAAGCAACAAGGCACAAGCGGCATGTCAAGCAACGCAAGTGGCAACATACTCGGCGACACAAGTGAACCAAGAACCCTCACCGCAGCTTGGTTGAATACGGAACGGAGTCATCAGCACAGTGACCGCCCCCACACGACCGTCCACGACGCTTTCCATCTCCAGGGTCGGCAGTGTCAATGATAAAAGACTGTTAGAGGATCTAGAGGGCTGGAGCGCGAGGCCTGCAATCCCGAACCCATACTGTATCACTGTTCAACGTTTGCAGTGCAAGACGTATCCTCAGCATGGTTCAACTGCTTGAACGCTCCGCTCGATGTTTGCCAAGCGACGTGTCAGAACTGAGGAGTGGCATGGACCTGGAGATCCAGGTCGGTGCAGGAAGCGGCCTGGCAATTGTGAGCCACGCCGCCACTTTTTTCCCAAACTCGGCACGTGAAAGTGAAGCAGCAGCTGTGGCGAAATGAATGCGATTCCCAAACTCGGGCTTTGTTTTTCCACAATGGGCTGGCCAGGCTACGCAATGGACCTCATACCGGTGAAGCCATTTCTGGAGCCACAGTTCAAAGGTGGCACCACCCATCACACATCAGAGAAGGATGCAGACACCTTTCATAAGTACTGTCACCTACAAGATGCAAACTTCGAATGCGTCTGATTTGCAAGTCTCCGAAACAGATTCGAGCATTGGAGACTCTCTTGAGTTATCTTCAGATTGGACCTCTTCTGGCATGCTACAGAACAGTGAGCCTGTTTGTGCCGCGTGCTTTTTTGACAGATGAAACCTCCTTCAAGCAATATTTATGTACAGGCATAATGGTGCAGAAGATTGTCCAGAAGTTGGACACGCTACTTGGCATAGTTGGATCTGAAGTTCACGGTTCTATGATGTAGAACCGTGATTATTTGCATGGCCGAGTGCTGACCAAGTCGTGGCCGCTGCCATGGACCGGCAGTTCACATTGCCGAGCCCGGGCAGTTGCTGTGCGTCGTGCCCTCGGTGTGGGGAAGCATCATGTCGTGCATGCCTGAGACATGTCACAGCAGCGATTGAATAGTGATTGAATATGCGTAATGTTTCAAGACAAGACGTGTTTTAGGTCACCATCCAGATAACCTCCCCGGATGATCTGAATGAGGTTGAGGCCAAGCCGTGTGCAAGCTCTTGTGTGTACGGACATGGTTGACCAGGATGAGTAATACATGCCGCAAGAAGTACCCTTGGCTGTGACTGGCAGAAGGAGCGACATGCAGCTTGAAGCGTTGCAGTGCTTGCGAGGTTGTGGACCTCGTACCGGCCGGCCTGGAACCCTTGGACGAAGCCTTGTCGGCTGCGGCCGCCGTGGCAGGCGAGGACGCAGGCACGCTGCATGTAGCTCTACGTCTGTGACCACATCCACATCCACTTCCTGTGTTTTCAGAGAAAACACACGGCATGCTCCGTCCTAGAGATACCAGTAGCTCGGACGCGAGGAGATGACAACAGTGCATTCGTTTGGGGCTTGCTCTTAGGCCGGCAGGAGCCTCAGAGACATTCCCTCTAGCTGAAGCTTCGGCACTCCGTCTTTATGCGCCAGATCCTGGAAGCGGACGGTGCGGAGAGACTTCGTGCGCTGGTGTCGACCTGAGTGAAAGGTGAGTGCAGAGAGGACGCTGTGGACCGAAGTTGGCTGTAATTAGAGGCGCAGCGCATACATGTGGGCCGGAGGCTGAGACCTGTCTTGTGCTTGAACTCTGTACAGGCCACGTGCCCCCGCACGGTTCTTGACTTGAGCAGGTTGCGCGTGCAGTTGAGCGAGGCATGTTTAAGCTCAATCATAAGCTTAGGCTTAGGCAGACTGTGCAATGTTGTCGATGGCAATTCAAGCTTGCTGATTCGCCAAGGGCGGCACGCATACCCTATCCTTCAACTGCATCGCAAATGTTGGCTTCTCAAGCTCGTGCTTGCATGTCAAGCCATGTCTGGCAAGTGTGTCACCATTTACAGTTCAATGCAGCTCCGGCACAGCTAAGGCACCAGGTGTCTACTCGCTTCCTTCGGCCAAAGCGCATTCGGTGAAGTTTCCGGAGGTAGCTTGACTTGTGCAGGGGTGGTTTCTTATGCCAAGCGGGGCACTGTCATCCCAAAGTGTTTCCAGCTGTAATTCTCTGAATCGGCACACCGCGAGGTTATGGGCTTCAGCGGTGCTGCCTCATTCCTGGTCGAGGATTCTGTGTGCGCACAATCTGTAGTTTCCTACTAGTTTCTAGTTTCTTCCTGCTCGCGAGGCCTAGAGCTTTAGACTTGCAGCAATCCGTCCATGGTGCCGCCAAGAAATGAGTCAGTGAGTCCGGCTCTGGAGGACACGGCAGAGAGTCCAAATGCGGTGCTTGGGCCTCGGCCTGGTCTGAGTCGTACGTTGACCGGAGACTTCCAGGAAGAGTTCCTGCCAGGTCTGCCCCAATGCTGCAGCAATTTCGGCGAAATGTAGGTGCCGCCTTTCAGGCAGCGTGGATGTAGTGAACCGATGAGTTTCGGTCGGCTCCAGTTTCAGTTTCGTTCGCGGTGAGCACACGAGCTGCAATTCATCAAAGCCGGTCTTGCGGTAGTCTGTGCTGTGCAGGTGGATCTGGGATTGCTGGGCGCTTCCGAAGGAGTCGCATCCATGTTGCCAGTGGCATGTCCTCAGGCCGGCAAAGCGGTCCCGGAGACGGTGGTAGCATAGCAATGCGAAGCTTCTACGATGATTTTCGTGAGTTGTCTTTGTGGTACAGGCCTGCCCTGCAGCTGGCAGCTGCAACTTAGCAAAAGGCATCTGCGAGTGCGCCCGGGTCACCCAGAGCCTTGCGGCCAGATGCAGAAGACGTCACTGAAGCACCGGCCTTTTGGAGATTTGTTGAGGCTTCCTCTTCTGGGGATCTGCTCCCATGTGAGGATTCCACGCAGGCGCTTGCAGCCCAGAGCCCAGCCCAGAGCGCCTTTCGTCTGTTTGGAAGGAGCCTGGGCCAGGGCCGCCAGGGCCTGGTCCCACTCAGAAGCCTTGGAGACACCAGGACCCTTGGGACCCTTGAGCAGACATCGCTCGTTTTTCCCCCAGCGATCCCCCAGCCTCGACAAAGGAGCCGCGTATGCCACATCTACCCGAAGGCCACGTAGAGGACCATGCCGAGCCAAGCGGAGTCGAGCAAGTCATTGCGGACTCACCAGCGTGTCGAGGACCCGGAAGCCTTGGATGCTTCCCACTCCCAAACAGTGGTGGTTGTGCTGCTCCTCGCAGCGCTCTTAGTTGGACTGGTCACAGCTGTGGCTTTAGACGGATGCCACCTTGGAATATTGGGGGACGGTGAGTTCCTGTAGCTTTGTTTGTCTCTGAGGCCGTTGTGGCGGCTGGCGTCTATTCCTACATAACGAGAATGAAGACTCCCAGGCCTACATTGATGGAGTTTTAGGCTTTGAGGTGCTCAGGGTCCGGGCTTGAGGGTGACAAGAACGACAAGCTCGCAAACATGTCACCATGGTCTTGGTCTTGTCCTGCGTGATGTTTCGACAACGCTTGGGAGTGGCTTTCCGGCCAGCATGCAGATGCAATGCCAGGAACTTTGCACCTCCAGACATGGAGTTGAGCTCCGGCCTGAAAGTTGTCTTTGCACGCGATAAGCCTGATGCTTCGCTTACACCATTTGTTTGACCTTCAGGTTCAGAGCCGTTCGCTTCCCTGGATGAGGTCCCTGTCTTGGCATCCCACCTTTGCCAAGTTTGAACCATACTAGAAGCAGCCGGTGCAGTCCAGAGCAAATGCTGCTATTCTGATAGCAGGGATTCAGAGCTCAGGAAAGCACTAAGCGAGCCAATGAATCGCAGGACATGACGGCACACGTTCGATCACCTTTAACCGTGGAAGAGCGTGGCTCTCAGACTCCACATCCAGAAACGTATGTCCGATTCCTTGGTCGCTTGCCATCTGCTCCCAGTAGCCGCAGGGGTTCCCGGCAACATCTCGGTGGAGCTGGCGCCCTCGCAGCAACCGAGGTCGAAATTTCGCGTAGACTTCCTGTTAGAGATACCAGGATGTATCAGGATCTTATTGGTTTGTGATGGTCGGAGCCTGGAAAAGTCACACGCAGATCGAGTGTGCGGGGTCCGGCAGGCAGCGGAGTGAGACAGCCAGGAGCCGCCTGTACAGGATGCGATGACCGCCTGGTTGAAGATCGTTTAACAAATCAAGCATTGTTCATCTGCAGCCTCGGAGAAATGCTAAGAAAAGATCCTGCAGAATTTGGTTCTGATATAGATCTCGTCGTGTTTCTATCTCAATGGGCTTTACAAATGGCATGACATGGCAAAGAAAACTGATATAATCATTATCGAGATAAACGATCTATATGGGATATACGAAATATCGAATCGCGCGATATCTCATAATTTTAATTTCATATAATATAGAAATAAGAAACTAGTAGATTTAAATAATATTACTACATAATATATTTAGAAAAATTATTTATTTCTTTCATTTTAAGTAAGAATATTTGATTTTATTAATTCTATTATTGAAATATTCAAAATACTATGGAGGCACGTAAAATTGAAGTTAGAAGTATGAATTTTTTATGATTTCGATATCGTGCCTTCTAATTTGTATTATTTTTATATGTTTAGAAATGGAATTGGGGAATAAATATTTTGTTATGGAGGTCTATAAATAAGTAGGTTCGGATTGGTGACTTTTATTATTTTCGATGGTATTCGTTCGATAAATATTTGATGAGGTTTAATTTATTATATGATATAGATTCTATTTTCATTTAAATAGAGGTATATATTAATTGATTATATCTTTATAATATTATAGAGATATATGATATGATTGGGAATGGAAGCATGAGTATTTCTATATCTAAAATCTAGAAATATTATTTTATTTCTATTACGATATTCCCTAGTCTTATAATTTTATTAGATATCTTTGACACTCTTCCCATATGATATGATATTTCAGATATATTTATTTTGAAATAGACTTGCGATATAAATCTTGTACTATGGCGAGCCGTAGACGTTTGGGTTTGGCTTGGTGGTGTAGTCATTTTTATGATAGGATCCGATAGTGGTTTGGTGGGATTTGATGGATCCGAATTCTTCTATATGTTGGGACCTAAATCGGTCTACGAGTCTTACTTTTTCTCTATATGGGATCTAAATCGAATTCGGCGGGACCTGGGAAGGCTTTCAATCTTATTTGCAGGCCCTGATTCCGGATTCAGAGCCAATTTCATAATAAACTGCCCTGAATATATACAATTGTCGATGATTTGATATTTTTGATATTTTTCACGAGTTTAATATTCTTTCTTTGATATAGAAATACTATTTAATTATTAGAAGATTTTATGAAATTATTGGATAGGAAGATATAATGAATCAAAAATATACTTATAATTCTGATTATTTATCTATAGACTAGAGTAGGATTATGATATATAGTATTTTCTTTAATTTAATATTTTTCTATTTCTTTTTATAATATATATCTATAATTTTCTTCAAATTATATATTTTTAATATAAAGGATGAAATTTCAATATTAGGTAAGGAATATAGAAGGGATGTTTCTATATTTGATCTTATGAATTTTATTGAATTCTATTTAGATTTTTCTAAATAAAATATATCGAATCATTAGGATGAAGATATTTATCTTTATAAAGATATTTAATTCTATAGTTGAAGATTTACGGTCCCTCTG